TTAACCTAAACAGGATGTCTTCGGACTGTGAGAGGAAACTGAAGCACCCTAAGGAAACCCATACAAACACAGGGAGAACATACAAACTCTACACAAATAGCTCCCCAGAAACTGGGTGCAGGGCCCAAGCACTACAAGATAGTAATACTAACCACTGCTAAACAGAGTTGCTCTCTTTTTAAAATGTGTTTTAAATTAAATATATTTGTGTTGTTGTTGTTGTTGTTGTTGTTGTTGTTGTTGTTGTTGTTGTTGTTGTTTTCCAGACATGGTAAAAGATAGATTTACAGATGTGGCCTCTGATTGTTTGCAACAATATCCTACTCTAATACTCCTGGCCAGGGTAAGTTTCATGTTATAAATCTGCCTCACGTGTTGTTGGATGAAAGCAAGTATACACCCAAAGATTTCAATCCAGAAGCTTTCTTAATAGGATGTTTCTAAACAAGAAAGCCAGAAACAACGGTTTAAAAAACCTGTCAAGGAGACTGTAGGTGGGCTGTTGTCTCCAGTAGATCCTCCAGGAGCCATAAGAAGGTGCAGTAACCTGTGCAAATATGTGTTCTGTATTTAATTACTCCTCACATGTATGCACAGCTGAAGCAACAAGCCTGTTAGAATTTACTTTAAACTGTGGTAGTGCTATAAAATGAATTATGTGTAAAACCCTACAATCAAATAACTGTCTAGAAATCCATCCACTGCCTAAAGAAAAGAAACCAGGAAAGTAGGACTCTCTAAGTGATGGTTTACTGAAGGCATAAACTACTGTAAAATACAGATGAGCTTTTCACTGTTGTCTGTGTGTAATAATCCAGATTCAAGGTCACTCCATTTTAAAAGACTTTTCCTGCCCCCATAAACTGAGCTCCACATTCCCTGATATTTTTCATCCTAATTAAAAAAAAATACTTGATCACGGAAAAAAAGCATTTGATCAGGGATCACACATAGGATAAAGGCTGCATGAAAGATAAGGTCAGGATGGTTCATGGCTCATGGTAAATGACAAACCAGAAAAGTTAAGCTCACTGTGTACAGCATATGATGTACACTCAGGATGAAATCTTCCTTAGTATAAGGGAAAATAATGCAGTTGAAGAAGACAGATTGAAGAAGATAGAGTCAAAGACTAATTGAATTAGACAGAGTTTACAGCAAGAAATGTAGGAATATAGCACAAGTAGGAACCATACCAGGGTAGAAACTTCCCTGTGAGCAGCATAGGAAAAAGTAAAGGTTAAATCCATGCTGAAGAGGTCTCCACAATTCAAACAGCTCAAACATAGCTCACCAAAAAGAAGTTAAATGAGAAAAAATCAGATTGTACTGAGTATACCACTCACTTAAAATGAACTTCAAACTCGCACATTCTGCTGAATATTGGGCTACAATTCTTGTGAATTCCTACCATGATGTATCATACATTTTTCATTGAAAAGGAGTATTCCAGATCTCCTCTGTGATC